GATAGCATCAAGTTCACATTTGATATTGCATTTGTTACTTTTGCAGTTATGATGCTTCATGAGCAAACGGCTCCTGCAACAACCTTTATGCCAACTACTTCGTTAGCACGGCACTTTCCAACCTCAGTTCTCCAACAAGAGCAGCGTGATGAGAGTAGGCTTTTCTTGAAGGAAGAAAAGACATCCCAGGTGAAACAATCAGGTCCTTCTTTTGCTATATATTCTGGAGTATCTGAGAGATACTGTCAAAATAACACTTGTTTTTACTGTTGAATTTGCAATTCTTCCATTACCAGTTTTTGAGACCTGTTCAAAATATGTTGTTTTACTCGTTAAATTATCTACTTTGATTGTTTCCTCTTAAAGGTAACATCAGGCAGAAGGCGAGTGGAAAGTGGCTTCTTGGAATATGAAAGTATTGATGCTGATTCTGATCAATACCTCAAGGATTTTCAACATGAGATGCTTAATTGGCCCGGTTTATGGTATTTGTAAGATCAATAGACTGTACTCTGCTGCATGCATGTGATTTATTATTCTGTCTCTGGCAAAAAGGTTTCACAACCTTTTTTATGCCACGTTTTTTATTTTTTTATTTTTTTTTATTTAATATTAAGATCTATCTGACTTCATGTTAGCCCTTCATCTATTATTAATTGCTTATGTGGTGTCCATTGCAGATTGCCTTCTAATCCAAAGGGGGAACTGTCTACCTTACCCTCAAGTACATTCTCTGCTTTGAATAAAACAAAGAAGCTTTTGGATGTTGAACCACATAAGGTACTTGCCCTGGCTAATAAAGCTTTGTCAGCCTCAAAGCAAGCAGCTTTGTTAGCTGAGGAAGCACAATTTCTGAAGCTGATGTGGATGAGTCTCATACTCCTGGGTTAGTTTATTCCTATCTAGAAATCTCTTTTCTTCCTTTCTATCTCCTTGCTATAATGCCAATTTCCTTTGGATCCTTGTGTTCCTCTTTTGTTCAGTTCAAGATTCACAAGCTTCATTAATTTTCCTCTTGAGGAGAAAACTGTGAGCTCGACCCGTCTCCTAGAGAGGCGATCTAGAAGAGGAGGTGACAAAGCCAAAAGTTATGGTTGAAGAGGCTCGTCATCCTGGAAAGGCAGATGTAAGAAGAAAATTAAATGAGGAATATGATCCAAATGACCCCCTCCGGCTGTTCCTTTGGGGTCCAGAAACAAAGCGACTTTTGACTTTAAAAGAAGAGTCTGAATTGATCATTCAGATACAGGTCTGTTTGTGACTTCTTCTTATAAAGAAAATGAATTTGATTAGCAGATTGCCTGATAGATACTGTATTATATGTCAGGATCATATGAAATTGGAGGAAGTGAGGAGTAGGCTTCAATCACACTTTGAGCGCGAACCAACACTTGTTGAGTGGGCTTCAGCTGTTGGGCTTAGTTGTCCAGATTTAAAGTTTCAACTTCACTGTGGAAACAAAAGCAGGGAGAAGTTAATTAATGCCAATCTTCGTATGGTGGTTCATATTGCCAAGCAATATCAAAGGTGTGGACTTAATCTCCAGGATTTATTGCAGGTAAGATTGGGAAAAAAAATGTTGTTATGTTTTTGCCCATGTTACATCAACAACTGTACTGTTGGCATCACATGATTTATCAAATTCTAAAAAGTAGTATCTTTCCTTGGAAAGTACTGGATCTTAAGTACTCTTGTTTTCTTCCTCCCACACTCTGTTACAGGAGGTTCTCAAGCTAACAGTCTGGTTTTACATATTCATCCAGTCAACTTTTGGCAGGCAAATCTTGTTAATGTTGGCTATTTACTTTACTTTTGCACCAAAGTGTTGATATGTCTTGCAGTCCTTTTTCTCCTTGTAGAGGTGTTTTCACCAGCTCATCTTTAAGCATCCATACTGCTATATATGGGTTAGAACAAATTGATTAGAAGAAATAGGTTTTTCATCAGGCTTGGACTTGGAGTTATAATGTTAATTTCAAGTTCTTCTCTTGGCAATCAATGGCACATAAAGAGAAACTTATACAATAATGATCAGGAGTCTAATGTGTTGTCTCACTTCTGATTTATTGCCTCATCTGTTGCAGGAGGGAAGTATGGGTCTTATGAAAAGTGTTGAGAAATTTAAACCCCAGGCTGGTTGCCGATTCGCAACCTATGCATACTGGTGGATAAGGCAATCAATTAGGAAAGCAATTTTTCGACATTCCAGGACTATTCGTCTGCCAGTAATGACTGACCTTCTTGACCCATTATTACAAATATTTTAACTGTAACTTTTAATCAGGCTTTGGTCTTTGAGATGATTAAGCTTGATCTCAATCAAATCAATGTTGTAGGACAATGTTTATGGCCTTCTGCACAAGATAACAGAAGTAAAGAGATTATGTGTTCAAGAAGGAAATCATCAACCATCAAAAGAAGAAATTGCAGCACGGGCTGGAATTACGGTGGAGAAGCTGGAAAGTTTGCTATATTCCTCAAGAATGCCTCTTTCAATGCAGCAACCTGTATGGATGGACCAGGACACTACTTTTCAGGTAAACTTTCAATTTATCTTTATTGGCATCTGTCTATTATCCAAGTTTGGGAGATATTAAACTGCATATTTTGTCCCATAATTATTTGTGATTTACATGACAAGGGGAGTTGTAAAATTGTGTTGCTTGCAGGAAATTACTGCTGACACTGCAATTGAGGTCCCGGATGTGAGTGTTGCTAAGAAGTTCATGAGGCAGCATGTCCGCCATCTCCTGAGCATTCTAGGTTCTAAAGAGAGGCAAATAATCCACCTGAGATTTGGCATTGGTGGTTCCGAGCCAAAATCGCTTTCTGAAATTGGTGCTGTTTTTGGGTTATCTAAGGAGAGAGTTCGGCAGCTGGAAGCCAGAGCACTATACAAGCTAAAGCAACATCTTGGCAGCCAAGGACTGGATGCCTATGCAGATTTGCTTAACTAAGGTAAAAAAGATACTTCGTTGTTCCATTTCATGTGATCAAGATCAGGTGTTAGCAAGCTATAAAGTGCAGAAAAAGCACCAAGATTTTGCACCTGTATTGCTTCACAGGGTGAATTAATTTTTGTTAATATGTACCAGCACACAATAGAGGGGGAAAAAAAAAGGCAAAAAAGTGTACATATGTTGTTAGCCCATGTAGTATGCTTTGTGTCCTTTGTATGTTATCAACATGCCTATTTTTCATAATGTTCAGATATGAGTATTTTATATTTACAGTTCTATATTTAAAGGTAGGTTAGTGCTAAACTATTTGTTGCCACATAGCAACACAGTTTGATGATACCGATTAAGCTTCAGGCTTTGAACATTTTTTGCTTGCAATCTTCTATAATTTCCTCCAAGATGTCTATCTGTGGTTTTCACTATATTACTGAATGGATAATTATCAGATTGCAATTAAAACAATTCATGCACAATGCATCATTGTCCTCCTTGTGATGGTTAGCAAATGAGAAACAATCCTTTTTCTGGTGGAAGCACTTGAAGTGAGGAATGTTCTTCACTAAGGCTGCCCATAAGTGAAGCATATGTAGTATCATCACGTGTTAGACCTGCATCCTTTATCTCATCATACAATTTAAGGCTTTTCATCTGATCTTCTCACCTTTGACAGACCAGAGATCATTATCGTGTAAGTCACCACACTTGAGCTAGCCCCATAACTGGCATTTCCTTGAACAATTCTAATGCTTTGTCTATCTTTGCAGTTACACATTCTTGCTGTATGAGAGAAGTGTAAGCATCTGGCATCAACCCCCTCTCTTCCATCTTATAAATACATCTATCAGATCATTGTAGGTCACTGTATGAGATTCAATATCCGTCCATCTCCTTAAACAGACTCTTAGCTTCGACAAAATTTCCTTAAAATATATTGATCAAAGTAGTGAAAGTCACCACGTCTGGAGACAAACCTCTGTCTACCATTGAGCATAAAGAGCTCTTTGCTTACTCATGCTGGGTCAGTTTACTTAAACCATTGGCAATTATGTTGCATGAAAATACATCAGCCTTCAGTCCTTTATTCTGCAATGCAGCCTTCATCAATAATTCCTTTCTTACCATAGCTACCCATCTGTTAATGTATTAAAGATAATTCCATTCACATTGATTCGTCTGCCTTGCATCTTGTTTAACAAAATTTCAGTTTGCTCCATTTGCCTAGCCTTGCACATAAACCGTTGATCAAAGCTCCATGAGAGTGAACATTAGGGACGAGACTTCTCTCAGTCATTTCATCGAATGGCTTGAATGCCCTTTTTCACGTTCCTAATAATCTGCTGTTCAGACTTGTCAATGATGTGTGGGGATTTTCCCAAGTCTAAAAATTCAACTTTATATTCTATTTCATTTCACAGAAAAATTCTTCTTTTTTTTTTTAATACGAAATGTTTTGATTAATAAAAAAATATAAAATATTCACCATTTTTAATTCAAAAAAAATGATCACATTTAATTTTTTAATTTCTTGACATTTTTATGAGTTATGCAAAATTAATCTTCCAAACTCAGCTATTATATTCATATCAATAATTTTTATATGGCAATCATAAAATGCCATTCCAATATCATAATTTTTTTTTTTATCACTCATTTAGTAAATTTTACATATTTGAAAAATCATTCATATCTTTATCTTCATCAAAAATTTGTTTTTCCCAAAAAATAATATAATTTTTGATATCAAACAATATTATACTGAATATTTTTGTATAATTTTAATTTTATAAATTAAAACTTCACTAAAAATTAATTCAAACTGATAGATTATATATAACAAATTACTAAATTATCTATTATACATAAAATAATTAAATTATTATTTTATACTTTAGAAACTACATTGTAATAATTTAAATTGAAATAATTCTAATTCTATTACATCTAAAAGGCATCTATCAATCACCGTCTCCACACCAAATTGTGAATAAGGAAAAATCAAGCTGACTAGTCGACTACCTGCGGTTTCACTTTTTGTCAAAGATGAATTTGTGGTAGGAATTGCTTGCTCACTAATAAATTTTATTAAAAAAATTGTAAAAAAAAAAATTTAAAATAGAAAGACCCAATTCAGATTGTAAGCATCCCGTTTTGAATGCCAGAGGATTGTATTCAAAATTTGTATTGCTTTAATCGTAATATTAATAATTAATTTCAGTATCCGTCTCTCTCTGTCTTTCTAGCTCCATCATCCATGGAGTCAATACCAGCATCTGATCAGCAGCAACTCCACATATTCTTCTTCCCCTTCATGTCCCCAGGCCACCAAATCCGCATGCTAGACCTGGCCAAGCTCGCAGCCAGCCGCGGCGTAAAGTCCACCGTCATCACCACACCTCTCAACCTCTCCCGCCTCCGCCACGGCCTCTCTGGCGACCTGCCCCTCCACTTCCTCACCGTCGACTTCCCCTCCATCGCTGCAGGCCTGCCCGAGAACTGCGAAAGCCTCGACTCTCTCCTTCCCGTCTTTCTTCATACAGCTTCAGCAGAGCCGTCATGATGCTCTGCCCTCAGGCAGAAGATCTCGTCCGCCGCCACCGCCCCGACGCCATCATCTCCGACGTCAACCTCCCCTGGACGGCCCAGGTGGCACGCAAGTACGACATTCCCCGTATCATCTTCCACGGTACGTGTCTCTTCTCTCTCTGCGTCTCTGACTCTGTCACTAGATACAGACCCTACGAGGGTATAGACTCCGATTACGAGCTTTTCCTCGTTCCCGTTTTGCCCGAGAAGGTTCCCATCGCGAGGTCCTGGATGCCTAGCCGGTTCTTCCGCCGACTGGGTCTGCAAGATTTCTCCGCGGATTTCGCAGAAGCAGAGCGGAATACATACGGCGTCGTGGCCAACACTTTATTCGAAATCGAACCGCAATACGTCGATCATTACGGGAAGATTACCGGGAAGAAGGTGTGGCCGGTCGGACCGGTCTCGCTCTGCAACGAGGAGGGTCTGACCATGGCGGATAGGGGAAACAGAACTTCAATTGAGAAGGGCCAGTGCCTCTCTTGGCTCAATTCGAAGGAACCCAACTCGGTGATCTATGTCTGTTTTGGGAGTCTCTGCGTGTTTGCCGAGTCCCAATTAGTCGAGATCGGACTGGGTCTTGAAGCCTCGATGTGTAATTTTATCTGGGTCGTCAGAGACGGCACCGGCGACGGCGTTGCGCTGGGCGATTTGAGGAGAGAGTGAAAGGGCGCGGTTTAATCATCAGAGGGCTGGGCCCCACAGGTCCTGATTCTCAATCACCCAGCGGTGGGCGGGTTCGTGACTCACTGCGGGTGGAACTCGGTGATGGAGGCGGTAGTCGCCGGCGTGCCGATGGTGACGTGGCCCCTCTTCGGCGAGCAGTTCTACAACGGGAGTTTTGTGAAGCGGTTGAGGATCGGCATAAGTATCGGGTCCATGGACACTGGGCTGATCTGGGGGGAGGAGGAAGATGCCGGAGCACTCGTGAAGCGCGGCCGCGTGGCGGCAGCGGTGGCGAGGTTGATGGGCGGTGGTGGGGTGGTGAGAGAGATAAGGGAGAGGGCTAGTAGGCTCAGTGAGTTGGCCAGGGCGGCTGTGAGGAAAGGTGGGTCCTCGTACGTGAATTTGGACCGCTTAATCGAGGATCTCTCGAACCATAAAAGGGTGAGGATGTCTAACATTGGCGAGAGATAGAATTAGCGGTCGGTAAAATTGAGATCTTTTGTTAGATCATGGTTGAATTACTAGAACTACCAAGGTAGTGGATGGTAAAATGGTCCAACAATTTATGAAAAAAAATCTCAACAAGAAATTGCTAATAAATTAGATTAGATAGATAATCATGTGATTAAACCCACACTAATTTTAAAGTTGGGAAAACCTCGTCAATATTTGTGTATTTCAAGTCTTTGAATAATCAATTGATTATTCATTATGAAAATAAAGACATACATAATTTTTTTTAAATCGAGAGTGGTAGTTAAGAACTTCCTTTTATTAAATATTAATATTGGGTAAAGGATAAAAATTCAATAGAATAAGTTAATTTTCATATTCTTATTTGATTTGAGAACTTGGAATTTTAGTGATCTATTTCTAACAGTGGTGTACTTTATTTTTAATAGTTGCCAGGTAAAAGACTTATATTTAATATTAACAGTTGATTCAATAAATTAATAATTTTAATATTTATAAAATTAATACTAAATATTACTTTTAATATTAATTTAATAAATATTAAAATTTTAAATCAGTAAATTAGAGTACGATATCAAATAAATAATAAATAAGTGTTGAACGTGTAAAACTGCGTGTACCATTTTGTCCGGGGTTGTTTGGCTCCTATACCTCCAAGTGATATAACGCTCTCTGGTGTCAGTTAAAAAATGTCATAAAACAAAGAAAAAAATCATGAAACCAAACAATCCACTAGGCATATCCCACGAAGGCGAAGGAGATTGGAATGCTTTCCACCCTAGTCCCTGGGAAATGCCGGGACAGGAAACCATTCCAGGGAAAAACAGCTTCATGCGTTTGTTTGATTGCTTTCTGGTGCAAGAAATTTGTCTCACGTGGGTACTCCAGTTCCTCCGTAAATATCTAAATGCCTTACATTTTAAGATTACAAAATTAATATTTTACAATTTTAATTTAATAACTCTCACACCGGAATTTAAAATTTAACACCGGAATGTCATTTTTATTTAATTTTTAAAGGGTACATTTAAAATGTGACAATTTTCTTTTCAATTATCATATATATATATATATATTAATTTTTTTTATTTTATTAGAGTGTAAAGTACAAAATATTATATATATATTATTTTATCTTCCATTAGAATTACATATAAATAAAATTACAACATAATTAAATAATACTAAAATAAGAGCAAACTCTACGAGTCTGAATAATAGTCACAGTAATTGTCCAACAATATTCATACTGTGAATATTAATTACTCAACGCAACTAATTAGATGTGAAGTGATTAATAAAATTATAAAATGTCATATCCTCCAGTGAAATACATGAGATAACAGGAGAATAATATTAAATATATATATATACATATATATATATATATATATAATCCCACTTTATCTTACCCCATTTTCATATTATTTTTCTTACTTCTGACATCTTATTCTATTCATAAAACTTAGTAATTATTATCTTGCAATAAAATAATTGGTAAACTATTAAGACAATCTTTATTTCATAAATTGTGGTAAGACAAAATAAAATGAAATTCACTATTATTTCTTTGATTTTTTCTCTTTTCTTATTGCATTTATTTTGAAAAAGGGAACTATTATTTATAACCTCACAATTTATCCCTTTATAATCTATTTTAACTTTAAGTTGACTTGACTTAATTTATTTATTTATTTAATTAAATCAAACCCAGACTAAGAAATTGATATTTTTGTTTTAATAAATTTTATTTAATTATATTTGGTCTAATTCATAAATTTAACATGCTGGTCTATATAATTAATTATTTATATTTTTTATTTTTAGAGCTGCTTTTATGGCTACAACAAATGGCCTGGGTAACTCTCAATCTCAGTCTCCCACTCTTATTAGCATGTTTGCTTCTTCATGGAGTATCTCCATCAACAAACTGGCCCTTCCAACCTCCATGAGGCCTAAGGTACAAGAAAATGGCATGCTTAGCAAAATACAAGTCTAAAATACAACAACTTTCCTTCATACTCATCAAGCTAGACATTTACAAAGCCCCAAACACTGTCTTGTTCTTTGCAAAAACAGGCATATGCCACAAATATTATTTCCTTTTCTTTGGCCAACCCACTTTTGCTTTTCTGAATTTAAAATTTACGCTCAAACCTACTATTTTCACTATTATTTTTACTGTCATGATACTTAGTACAAAGAAGAATAATTAACTCTTGGTTAGTATAAATCCTCACTGCTAAGATTAGAAATAAGTTAAATTGTTTATGAGCTGCTTGTGGACTATTTTATTTTTGTCTAAACTTGACTCGACTTATTTATGTAAGTAGGCAAATCTCAAATTAGGAAATTGACTTTTTCTTTTAAATAGACTTGGTCTGATTATATTTAGCCTGATTTATAAGTCTAATATGCTAATTTATATAATTAATTATATTTTTATATGTAATTTTTATCATATAATTATATATTTTATGATATAATATAGTATATATTCTTATTGTTTGAATAGATATAATCTAATAAGTTAATAAGCTGAGTTAGATATGACCAGTTGTACATACAAATTAAACCAAAGCTAACTTTTTTAACTTGTCATAAACTATAAATCAAACTCGAGAGTCAGTAACTTTTATAATAGACATGGTCTTTCTAAATTTCGATCCGACTCAACATGGCTTATTTTCACCCATAATGCTTATCATACTTATAAAACAGAAATCCGTCTAGTTTCTTTGTTATTTTTAATTTTATTGGCTGAAAAAGAAAATCCAAAATCTTTCTTTTCGGCATTCGGCAAGAATCTGTTTGGAATGGATAAATCCAGATCCGATTCACTGAGACAAAATTTTCTGAATCTGTATGTAAAAACATGACAAACGGTCGGGACGTTTTGTTTAAACAAACATAGAAAGAGCCTCTGTGAACACGCGAAAGGGTGAGAAGAGGCGTATCAACAATCAAATAAGAGCATGATCCAACATTTCCTTGGAAAAAAAAAAATGATATTGATTTCGTACTAGTGAAGGCGACATACAAGATGATGAAAATTCAATGAAGGTTTTTTTTTTTTTATAAGTTTATTCTTCATTAATATTTAAGATAAAAAAAAGAAGGTTTTTTAAGGAACAATAGTTGATTTAATGGTAAATGGCAATTTTTTTAAAGAAATTTTTTGTTATTTTCTGAAAAGGAAATGTCCTACAAAATTTGGCCAGAGAACAGATTTTAGAAAAGAACTTGGAAACACATTTTCTGTTTCTGAAACAAAAATAAATCCAAACATGCCCTCATTGCCAACTTTTTTTAATCTTAAAAGAAGTTAATCATAGAAAGTCCTTATGCACACATCACCAATGCAGATGTATAAACTTACATATACGCGCAAAAACGCACCAAGCACGCAAAGCCATCACATAAAAACCCTAGACAGGCCTGAGCATAACAATGGCTGGCGTACAGGGCTCCCCGGAAAGTCCCGTCGACAAAGTCGCTGGCAAAGAACAAGCTTTCGCCAGCTTCTCGGTGGATGCTGCTGACGAACCCGCCGCCAAATTCGCTTTACCCGTGGATTCAGAGCACAAGGCCAAAGCCTTCAAAATCTTCTCCTTTGCCAACCCCCACATGCGAACCTTCCACCTCTCCTGGACCTCGTTTTTCACCTGCTTCATCTCCACCTTCGCCGCGGCGCCCCTTGTCCCTATCATCCGCGACAACCTCGGCCTCACCAGGACCGACATCGGTAACGCGGGGATCGCCTCTGTCTCTGGCAGCATCTTTTCCAGGTAGAACTTTTTTATCTTCTTTCAACATTACATTAATTCCATTTTTAGTATTGTTACAAGTATGCTTACAGTTTCTTAATTTCGTGGTAAAATTTGTCCCCAACCAAAATTGTCGAATATAACTTAATTTACTCGAACTTTGTTCCCCTTCTCTAGGCTCGTCATGGGGACAGTATGCGACCTCCTGGGTCCCCGCTACGGCTGCGCCGCCCTCCTCATGCTGTCGGCGACTGCCGTGTTCTGCATGGCTATGGTGTCATCCGCCGCCGGGTACGTGGCGGCGAGGTTTGCGATCGGCTTTTCGCTGGCGAACTTCGTCTCGTGCCAGTATTGGATGAGCACCATGTTCAACGGAGAGATCATCGGCCTCGTCAACGGCGCCGCAGCCGGCTGGGGCAACATGGGCGGCGGCGTCACGCAGCTCCTCATGCCGCTGCTCTACGAGCTCATCCGGGGCGCCGGGGCGCCTTCGTTCACGGCGTGGCGGATTGCGTTCTTTGTTCCCGGGTGGCTGCACGGGTTGATGGGCCTGTTGGTGTTAGGCTTGGGCCAGGATTTGCCAGACGGAAACCCTGGTACCTTGCAGGAAAATGGAGACGTAGCCAAAGACAAGTTTTCTAAGGTGAAATCTATACATTCGTACATACATACATACATACATACATATATATATGTATATAATTATTCTATATTAATTTTGCTAAGTTAAGTTACTGTTATTGCAGGTGCTATGGTGTGCCATTACAAATTATAGAACGTGGATATTTTTCCTTCTCTATGGGATGTCGCTTGGTGTTGAATTAACCACTGACAATATAATTGCCGAGTATTTCTTTGATAGGTATATGCAAATATTCTTTTGAATTGTACTTAAATTTGGATATGAAGAAAGTAAAATAATTTTAGAGAGTATCAATTTAGTTTATATGTTTTTATAAAGTAACTAAACAAAAATAAATTAAAATTACAAAATGGCTCTAAATATAATAAAAATTACCTCACAGTCCCATAACAAAAGTAATTACAAACCAGGATAGTAAATTAATTAAAAAATTAGCATAATGGATTAAGTAGTTACTAATTTCAACGATTTCCAAATGATTTTTTTTTCAAAAAGAAAATCTATAGATATTTTCTGATTTTCTATTCATATTTCTAATCCCATTAAGAGTAAGGCTGTTTTTTGTTATTATTTTTTCATGTTCTGCTGAATCAAAATTGTGTTCAGGTTCAATCTGAAGCTTCACACGGCCGGCACCATAGCTGCCACCTTCGGAATGGCCAACATAGTGGCCCGACCGGCAGGAGGCCTACTTTCGGACCTGGCTGCCAGGCGGTTCGGCATGCGCGGCCGCCTCTGGAATCTCTGTCTCCTCCAGACTCTGGGTGGCGTCTTCTGCATCTGCCTCGGCCGCGCCGCCACCCTTCCTGCCTCCGTGGCCTCCATGATCCTGTTCTCCGCAGGTGCCCAGGCGGCCTGCGGCGCCACCTTCGGCATCATCCCTTCATCTCCCGCCGCTCACTCGGCGTCGTCTCAGGATCAGCGGGGCGGGAGGGAACTTTGGTTCAGGTCTTACACAGCTTTTGTTCTTCGCCAGTCCAAAGCACTCCACCGCAGCAGGGATTACGAAGATGGGTGTCATGATTGTCTTGTGCACTCTGCCGACAGCGCTTGTGCACTTCCCGCAGTGGGGGAGCATGTTCCTGCCGCCGGCAAATAATGTGGAGAGGTATAGCGAGGAGTGGTATTACGGGTCAGAGTGGACCGAGGAGGAGAAGCGGATTGGTTTGCATACAGGGAGCCTGCGGTTCGCCGCGAACAGCCGGTTGGAGAGAGGCCGCCGGGTTCCCTCTCTATCCACTCCGTCGGATTCAACGTCGGCGCATGTTTAGAGGGAGAAATTAGGATCTTGTAACTGGCAAATACCCGTACGGAGCTTTTCCTGTAATGAATTAAAATGAAAACTAACAAAAAAGTTCTAAGTATGGGGGTAAATTTTATAAAATCAGGTTAAAGTTTATGAAAATCGTATATTGATTGTAATACAGTCTTTATATTGCTTAGTTTGGGTTTGAATAATTTTACACTTACTATAAAGTTTCCTTCATTTTGTTACTGTAAATTTTTATTTTCTTACATAGATATATGACTTGAAATATTACAAAAATAATATAACACTTTGCAGAGAAATATGGCTCTTTTAGCAAACCGGGGATGTCGCCTTCTGACAAGACCAGGTTAATGTCCAGAATTATTCAAGCTAAATACTTCCCCTCGGAGCAAACTTTCTGAAGGCTAACATTGGCCATGCCCCAAGCTACGTGTTAGCTTGTTTGGGTTGAACCGGCCCAAATCAAATAGGCCAAGGGAGTGGGCTAAGAAAAGTGGGCTGGGTTGCAGATACAAGGGCCACGGATTGGGCCAAAAGAGAGCTGGGCTAAGACTTGAGTTAAGTGGATTGGACTTGGGTCAGAATGGGCCAAGATGGGCTGGAATTAGTTTGGATTGGGTTGAAGCTGGATGCAGATTTGCGGCTAGGCTAGGGGCTTGGGCCCAACCTTGGGCCAAATTCCTAGCAAGCAGGTTAGGAGAAAGGGTCAAACCAGGTCAAGGAGAGGAGGCGGGCCAAGGAAGTTGGCGGGTCAATAGGGCAAAAGGCCATGGGCCGGTCCAAAAGTAGATAGGGTCGGGCCCTAACATGCGAGCCTAAGTCGGCCCATTAGGCTGACCTAGGTAGGCTAGAGCCCAACCCAGAAAAGGCTGGGTTCGAGCCAGAAACAGAGAAGCGGGTCGTGCAACAGGGTTGACACGCAGGAAGCTTTAGGAGTTGCCAATGGCAGAAAATGGGGGGATTTGGGGATCTTGTTGGGAGCAAGGGACCAACATGAGGGAATCTGAAGATCGAAAAATCAGGGCACGAAAGGCATTAGCTAAAGAGAATTAGATCGATTGAGAAGATAAGAGGGAAATTTGGAAGAAATCTTCTAGTTGCAGATAAAGCCAAATCTGCCGCATATGAACTTTGCCCAAATCCCAGTTAAATTCAAAATGAAACTGGGAAAGGGACAAGGATCTTGATTGTATGGGAGATAAAGGGGAGTCTTCGAGTAGATTAGATTGATTTTGAGAGCTCTTGCGTGAGCTATAACAGAGCAAAACCAGAGAGAGAGTTCAGGCTGTTCGCGGAAGAGAACAGAAGGTTGGGTTAAACTCGATTCAAAGAGAAATTGAGTGAGAGTTTTTTATATAAGGGAAAAGACCGACTGAGGGAGTTCGGTCTGTGAGATCGAGTGAGAAAGAGGGATACAGAAAGAGAAAGAGATATCTCCAAGGGTGAGTGTAATATCTCTAAATTTTGGAGAAAAATTGTAAATTAAGGGATTGGGGACGTCGGGGAATAAATTAAAATGTTCGGGGACTAAATTAGAAATTTGAAAGGGCTTGTCTGTATAAATTAAATGATTTAGGGCGTTTTTTTGCTAAATCTGAAAGAGTTTGGCAAAAAAAAAAAAATCTGGCTGAAAGTCAGCCGAAGAACCCAGAAGAGCAATCTGGTCCAATAGGAGCTAAACAGCTCAAATTAGCTTTAAGGCTTGGTATATAAGGGCGAGACGGATTTGAAGGAGTGTTCAATCAAAATTTTGAGTAAGAAGAGAGGGAGAAAACTGATGGAGAACCACACGACACCCAACAGAGGAAAGCTTGAGAATTTCGTTGTTCGCTTAAAATTTCTCCGATTAGTGGGTGTCATGGAGCTCGGCAATCAAGGAAATTGAGTTTGGTAGCTTCCAATTGACATGGGTAAGTGTTTTGGTTCGATTTTTGAGCTTGGGGCGTCTGAGTTTTGGGAGTTGCAAAAATCGGGTGTTCACCCGGGTTTCTGGGTAACAGGGACAAGACCCGAACGCTGTCCAGGTTTGACCGGCCGTTGACGGTCTGGTCTAGCCCTGTTGGGCTAGAACCGACAGGTTTAGGGGGTTTTTGGACCCCGATTCAGGAACCAAGCTCAATTCCCAGTTCAGAGAAGTGAGAGGGGTCTTGTGGAACTGAGTTCAGGCACTGAACTGCCCCAGTTTAGATGGTTTTAGAGAGAAATATGATTAAACCGGCCGATTTTTGGGGAATTAAGGCCGGTTCAGGGGTTTAGGACCCCAGTTCAGTGGGTTTTCTCGGGAATCTGGGCGGTTCAGTCCGATTCTTGGTAGTTAATGGCCGGTTCCTCATAGGTTAAGAGGGATTAAAACTAGTTCATCTCGATTTAGGTGTTTTGTGAGCCGATTTGGCTCGGTTTGGTTCAATTTTTGGGAAATGAGCCCGTTTCAGTGGATTTTTGGTTGGGTTTGGTCTGGGTTTTGATGGTTTAAGGTTAGTTTGGTTCGGTTATGAGATTCGGGAGTCCGGTTCGAGCTTATTTCAAGTTTTTGGAATCCAGTTCATTTGATTTACGAAAACCGTTAAGATTGAGATGTGGGGTTGGCTTAAGCATAAATTGAGTTAGTTAATGACAACTCAAGAAGGGTCTCGGGGTGCGTGTTAGGGGCTCGGTCGAGGGTTTAGATCCCAGGCCACTTTTGATAATTTGGATTTTTAGAAATAAATTCCGATTTTGGTTCTAACGTACATGTCGGTGATTGTAAAAACTCCAGAGGGGGCACACATTGGTCTTTGAGCCATCTGTCTGAGTTTCAACATTTAATTTTGACGTACTCGGTGAGTGACGGTACTCTCTGTACATGTGTCTGCATTACGGTTTTCTGTTAGTTTTTGTATTTTGGTTTCTGACCTATGAGGTTACTTCTGGGACATGAATCTATCTGTTTTAAAATATGATAAGCTTGAAATTATTTTTGTAATTAATTGCATACTTGCCTCAGTGATTCATGTGTTTTTAAAAGGTGAATCTGTTGTGAGTTTTTATGTGATTCCAGTTTTCTGGTTCTGACTCTATTTTTTATGTGGGGGTGCCAGGGGCTCAGCCAACAGACGGTGTGGTACCGTACTGTGCGGGGAGTGCCCTGGGCCCAATGATGTGATATGTGTGATTCTGATTCTGGTTCTGGTTCTGACTCTGACACGGGATCCCAGTGTGACGGATATGAGACATATGACTCTGATTCTGATTTTGGGACGCTAGGGGCTCTGTTATCGGACGGTTGGCCACCGTCGTGCGGGAAGTGCCCTAGGTCCACATGTGACTCTAACTCTAATATGAGATGCTAGGGACTCTGCCGTCGTACGGTTGGCCATTGTAGCGTGCGAGAAGTGCCCTAGGTCCACCTGTGACTCTAACTCTGATACGTGATGCCAGGGGCTCAGCTAGCGGATGGTGGGGTGTCGTAGTGTGCAGGGAGTGCCCTGGGTCCATATGTGGATCTGGTTCTGATATGTGAAATGTGATATGTGACTCTGATTCTGATATAGGATGCTAAGGGCTCAATCGGCAGACGGTGGGTCGCTGTAGCGTATAGAGAGTGCGCTGGACCCACATGTGACTTTGGTTCTGATATGTGTTATGTGATATGTTTTGATACTCTAATAGATTTCTGTTTTCTTATTCTAACTGTGCATATGTAAACTACATGTGTTGTCTGAGGCAAATTTGATTTTTGTAATTGTGTTATTACTGGAAACGACACGTGTGTTTTAAATGGTTACGATTCCTGTCCCGACATGTCTAGATAGTACTGTCATTCACTAAGTTTTATACTCATCCTTTTTGCCCCACCTTCTAGATTTCAATTCTGCTTAGCAGCGGTAGCTCCTGCGTTAGTTCCGTCATAGCTGCACGGGTTTTTGTACGGGCACTTTCTGTATAATTACCTTTTTGTACTTTATATGCTCCATGTATAGTTCAGATGTGTTCTGTTATGTATATTGGTAGTTTCTGATAAAATGCTTTATCTGCTTCGTTCTGGTTAAAGGCTTGCTAGGGTTGGTATGCCAATCCTAGTGCTGGTCACGCTCCCGGTTGGGTCGTGATAGTGAGGGAGAAAGGGGTAAACTCTGTAATCCTTGTTTAAATAAAAAAAAAAAAATTGTTTTAAGGCTGAGGATGCCTTTGGAAAACAACCTGTTGTGTGTGTTCTGAGTTTGATTATGTTTAGGAAGCCTCTGGGATTTGGGATTTGCAGATTGCCTTCACCGGGAATGAACCAGGTTGGAGAATGCCAAAGGCTAAAGACGCATGTGAGTTCACGCGCCAAGCAGAGCGGTGCACATATAGGATTAGGCGCGTGCAGGTGCATGGATGTGTGAAGCAACGCTGGGCAAGTGGGTCTGCCTTCCTGGGTGCGTGGGAGCGCGTGACATATCCCGACAAGCTCCAAAATGTGATGTTTCGGTGAGTAATAAAAAAACAAAGAATGCTTACTATTTTTGGGTGGGAAATAGGCCGATTAAAAAATTTTTGGGCTTCCACTAAACCCGGTAATGCTACGCATAATAAGTTCACATTCTACACACTAATTTTTCTCTCTCAAACTTGAGACTTGAGACTCTCAAGTTCGCTTCACTTAGGTGTGCCTTGAGGAGGTTTGCAACTCCTTTATTCATAAGAATTTTCGCTTGCCTTTGTCAACTATGACCGTTAAGGTGCAGCAACTCTATAACAACCCAAACCTGGAATAATAATAATAATAATAATAATAATAATAATAATAAGATAAATCTATAATTTTGGTTGATTTAAGAGTTCAATTGAATAAATTAGATAAAATGGGGGCAAATTGAAGAAATTAGGGGCATAATTGCAAAATTTAGAGTAATTGGGCATAATTTAAGAATTTCAAGGATTTAATTGAAAGAAATAAAAGAATCGGGGTTTAATTAAGAATTCAAAGGAGCTTGGTTGGTGAAATTGAAAGAATGGGGTTCAAATTAAAAACTGTAAGGG